CGATAAGACCCATCGCTCATCTTACGCCGTAACCTACGGCCCGTAAGACTTAGTAAGTCTGACTTACGGCTGAGACGTCTTTTTAAATTCACGACTGCACCGCCGTGGTGATTTCTTCCACAAGTCGAGTATCAATGGAGCAGTCATCCCTTCTCATTCCACCGACCATCAATGATTGATGATCAATCAATGTTAGCGAATTTGATCATTAAAGCGTGCCACTCAATATATTCGTCCTATCAGTTGCAAAACTATGCGAAACTTTCCGCCCTGTGATAGTTTCAGGTATGGTTCCTACTGTGAAAGCAATGGTGCACGCTATTCTAAGGATGCCGCGTATTCCTTCCAATCTATACAATTTGATGACCGTGATGATGATGCTAGCGTCGAGCCTGTTTATCGTTCGGAGGACTACATCCCTTGCTACGATATTCTGATAATACCAGTTTTTGCTCTCTGTAACGATCTCAGTGTACAATGGCAAGGCTAGTTCAAGCCGTGTGGGTTATTCACTGCCGCAGTGGCAGTGCAACTCGTTAGGCGTACCATCTCATCACTCCAAACCTAGTCGTTCGCTGTAGTTCAGCAGTAGACGCCATCCGAGTGACGACAGTTAACACCTCAAAGGCCTTAAGAATCACCGACTCTGGTCACTGTTATGCGGATTACGAAACCCCAGTTATCAAATTATTTCTAGGATTGAAAACCCGCATCGTCAGGCAGGATATCTCGAATCATTGTAGCAGCCGTTCACACACCCTCGCTGTGATGTACATTGACGGTGAGTGAAGAATCACTATGTTGATATCCTTCGATCATAAATTGGAAAAGAAGCTTCTCAAGAAGTGAACGTTGGTGCCGCTCCGAGCCGTTTAACTGCCCGTTCGTTCTCCTGAAGAACGAACACATGGACGCGGAGCCTCGCTCCGCAACTGCGACACGTGTCCAAACTCAGTTTCGTCGAAGTGTGAGGTTGAAGGAGAACTTTTCCAAAGCAGGCGCCACAGGACTGTACATAAGTGCAGGGATCATCAGTACCGAATAATTCAAACATCGTGATGCATTGTATAATACCGCCTGTCGGAATGGTACTCTGCTTGGGGCGTACTTCCCTTCTGGTGAGAACGATGCCCCGCCGTGGGGCAACTATACCATAGCAAGTTGAGTCCTGGTACAACCAATCTCTCTAGGTGGGGCAACTATACCATAGCAAGTTAAGTCCTGGTACAACCAATCTCTCTAGGTGGGGCAACTATACCATAGCAAGTTAAGTCCTGGTACAACCAATCTCTCTAGGTGGGGCAACTATACCATAGCAAGTTAAGTCCTGGTACAACCAATCTCTCTAGGTGGGGCAACTATACCATAGCAAGTTAAGTCCTGGTACAACCAATCTCTCTAGGTGGGGCAACTATACCATAGCAAGTTAAGTCCTGGTACAACCAATCTCTCTAGGTGGGGCAACTATACCATAGCAAGTTAAGTCCTGGTACAACCAATCTCTCTAGGTGGGGCAACTATACCATAGCAAGTTAAGTCCTGGTACAACCAATCTCTCTAGGTGGGGCAACTATACCATAGCAAGTTAAGTCTCCTGTCTCGGATCTTTGCCTTTGATCGTCCTGCCAAAGAATCGTCCTCGTGAAAGACAGATGACCACTCTGTTGTCCGTAGAAGCTGTGTGGGGTAGTACCACACATGAAAAGTAAGCGGCGATGGCGTTGCGGCACAGCGTGCTCTGCTCTCACAGACGATCGAATCCTAGAAAATCAATACGCGAGTACAGAAACGCTGACATTGACCTCCAGTCATGTTCCCGCACTCGCTTGGATATGTCGGCTGAGCAGAGCACTGCGATCTCTGAGACGGGAGAAGAGAATGCGAATCTGCGAAGGCGAGAGCGTCATTACCATTAAACTTCTCCAAAGCAGCTGCAGCGTTCTCGCCAGTATCGAATCTAAGCAGTGCACTCGGAGAAAACACCTGGACCATTGCTCAGCATCTTATAACGGATTGAATTTTCTCTCATTATTGGATTCTGTGTCTTCTCGCTACTCAACTCTGAAACCTCCCGGCCCCACGCCAAGTTCCATGATGCTATGGAAATCTCGAGCCGTTGAGTTCTACTGCCGCCTCAGTTGAGGGGTTCTCTTCGTAGTTTACGGAGCCGAACCCCATCGACATGACAGTGTCCTCATCGGGCACCTGAAATTGCCACGTGCTGTGGCCCTGTGCGACTGAGAACCGCCTACTATTTCAGCCGAGATATTACGAGCCGAAGGGCTCGAACATTTAGTTCTCCTGGCCATGAGCAGGCAATTGGTGATGACATTGCACTTCTACTTCCTTTTGAATACACGCGTTGAATGACAGTGAATGTCAGCGTGAAGTAAGGAGAATATCAGACAGACGAGGTCACGCTGGCGAGAATGTACTGTTCAGAAACAAGCAGGTGAACACGAAGACTGTAGGTCCTATCGTGTTGGAGAGCTCAATGGTAAAGAGCTCGACATAACCTCTGGTGAATGATAGACTCCACTCAAGGTCCTCGTCGATTTCCAAGTCTTTAATAGTGTTCGATCCGTTCTCACTGATATTCAGACCAATCCTCTGGGGGACCTAAGGAAAAAGCGACTTTCTTGAAGAGCTCGATGGGATTGAGAGTGAGCTCGCCAACTTGATAAATACCTGTGAAGTAAGGTAGACGAGTAAAGCGACTGAGATCCCCACGAACGTAACGAATCTATTCCGTAACATACCATATGCGAATATAGCGGGAATGGCCGTGTAGTGGAAGGCCCGATGGCCGCTTTTAGTCCAGACTTTCTGGATGGCATCCTGCACCTTACGGATAGGTCCAGGGAACTTAGATGGCCGGGGAGACATCATCACAAGTTGTTCTCAGTCAATTTAATCTACCTGTTGTGATTCACAACAGGTAGATTAAATTGACTGAGAACACTATGAATCCAAGGACCAACAGCTGGTTGCTTGTCTGCCCACATTTTTCAATTAGAATTGAACAGAGTGAGCAGACTTGCTTCCACCCCTTAATCAGCTCCGGTCCTGTGTCGCTCTCGGTTTCATCACATAGAACACAATGCGCCCAAATCAGGCTCTAGCTTGACTGAGACTGCAGCTTAGATCCCTTCTCCTACAACTACGCTTACAACGTGTGAGTCAGGGTAGTGGATATACACAAGTGATTAAGATCCCCATTCATAAGGCCCCTTACAAAATCGGCCGAGTTTGCCTGCACGAAACGACGAAGGAATGCAGTAGAAATGGAGGTTGCAGGGATCGAACCCGGGCCGGGGGTCCCGGTGGAGGCACTTTCCGGTCCCGATGGAGGCACTCGATAAAGGAATGTTATTTTTAAGAGAGGAGGCGGGCCTCCGGCCCGCCGAGCCTAAGCCGCATCTTTAGGGCCGTATCCTATACTAAGCGGTGCTCAGGGTTGTGAACGAATGTTCCTATGCTAATGTACCTTGGAGGTTGTGGTGATAGTATTCGGACTTTTTTGAGTGGGATCGCCTCAAGCCTTCAGCTCACTTCAGAAGTGATAGGCAGGTCCTATCCAATATCAACTCGAGCAAATTCTATCAAATGCTTAGATTGTCTGACATACGACGTTGCAACTAGAAAAAAATCTGGAAAATAGTCGAGACTCGGGTTCGAACCTGGGAAGCCGATTTGCGCATGCGTGCTAGCTCTATGGAGCTGTTTTGCTTCTTGAAGCTTTTCACTTTTCAGAGTTTTGCTGAACTGCAATGGTCTTCCTAGGCTTCAATTAATTGTACTCGCTGGACTGTTAACTATACCATACTTGATGGGGTATGTTCAACTGAGAAGGTATTTTCCTCCTTCCTTGACTATTCATTGCATCAAGAATGCACACCTTATAAATGTTTCGCATCTCTCAAGTGTTGCCTTAAGTTATTCACTGAGCTCATCCATGACGCCCGTAGACAACCGCTTGTCCATTCTTCCTCATTGCACATTTGAATGTTCGTTGTAGTACTCAAGTGTATGTCAGTGACATAATGTCACCCTGGTTTTGGGAACATGCTCAAGATGGCCTTTACCGGTATCATCCCTACTTCCGCTGAGGTTGTGTGAGGTTTGAGAATAAGGTATCCTCGGCTTGATGCGCTCATAGTATCTTAGCAATTTGCTGAAATACAAGGCGTACTGTAAAACGTTACCGGGACGACGTCTGTTCTTCACCTGAGCATCGGCTATTCAATGAAAAGCTAACGAACAGAGGTTTTCGTGTTATCTTCTGACACAACTAATCTGTTATAGTGTTGGAAATTCATTTTTCGAGACAGATTCGTTTAATGACCGTGGTCGTGGCAGGAAGAAGCACAGTGGGAGCGAATACACAGCGCTGCGAAGCGAGGACGGTATTCGCACTGAGCACTCACTACATCAAGTATAAGCGGAGTCCGAATGTATTTACTTCAACATATGATTCAACTACCCCTTACTCAGATGGGAAATACGCTGGACGAGACTTTACGAAAGTACAATGTGAGCCAGGGGCCAAGACATGCAGTAGCTGGGCTACACCTTCGGCTGAGGCACTGTTTCCGGGTTGAGCACCATGTGCGCAACACGTAGTCTGTTTTGCTGAGTATTTCGACAACAACCGCTCGCACCTGGTCACCAGCAAACTCGGTAACTTTTTCTTGAAACCGCAGGAGCTTTGTGGAACGAGTTTTGAGAAATGCCAACTCGAAGAAGGGTTGAAATACAAGGCGTGCTGTAAAACGTTACCGGGACGAGGTCTGTTCTTCACCTGAGCATCGGCTATTCAATGAAAAGCTAACGAACAGAGGTTTTCGTGTTATCTTCTGACACAACTAATCTGTTATAGTGTTGGAAACTCATTTTTCGAGACAGATTCGTTTAATGACCGTGGTCGTGGCAGGAAGAAGCACAGTGGGAGCGAATACACAGCGCTGCGAAGCGAGGACGGTATTCGCACTGAGCACTCACTACATCAAGTATAAGCGGAGTCCGAATGTATTTACTTCAACATATGATTCAACTACCCCTTACTCAGATGGGAAATACGCTGGACGAGACTTTACGAAAGTACAATGTGAGCCAGGGGCCAAGACATGCAGTAGCTGGGCTACACCTTCGGCTGAGGCACTGTTTCCGGGTTAAGCACCATGTGCGCAACACGTAGCCTGTTTTGCTGAGTATTTCGACAACAATCGCTCGCACCTGGTCACCAGCAAACTCCGTAACTTTTTCTGGAAACCGCAGGAGTTTTGTAGAACGAGTTTTGAGAAATGCCAACTCGAAGAAGGGTTGAAATACAAGGCGTACGGTAAAACGTTACCGAGACGGGGTCTGTTCTTCACCTGAGCATCGGCTATTCAATAAAAAGCTACCGAACAGACGTTTTCGTGCTTTTGTCTGAAACAACTAATCTTTTATGGCTTTGGAAATTCACTTTTTTAGACAGATTCGTTTAATGACCGTGGTCGTGGCATGAAGAAGCACAGTGGGAGCACACAGCGCTGCGAAGCGAGGACGGTATCCGCACTGAGCACTCACTACATCAAGTATAAGCGGAGTCCGAATATATTCGGTTGAACATATGATTCAACTACCTCTTGCTCAGATGGGAAATACGCTGGACGACACTTTACTCACGCTGAGTAGTACGACACGCTGACTCCGCAGTTTTCTGATAGTACGAACTTCTTAATCCAACGCAACATATCGTATTTCTAGAAGATTGGAGATAACCTTCTGGCTCTTCAACAATATTATTGCAAGGCTTTGAGCCCTGTCTCTGCAGAGCTCGTATTCTAATTCTGCATGAATGTCGTGGCTGTTGTAACATCGAGATGATAAGCTAGCGATCGATGAAGTGCCATGAGCCACGATGAAGCCGTTTCGACGTACGACCCGGACGTAGTCAGGACGACGTACGCGACGGAGACCTTTCCGTAGTGGGGTATAATTGGAGTTTCTGCGAGCTTCAAGATATGGTCGGGTGTTCATGAGAGTTGGAGGATCCGACTCGGAGGAATCTGATGGATCCAATCTAACTTCAACGAGCGAAGATACTCACGCTCAATAGCAGAAGCCTCTGAGAGAGTTGTAGGCGGTGGTGGTGGATGATGCGACATCGATGGTGTGGGGAAGGCCCCGTTCTCCTGGAGCCAAATCAGGCATTTTGTCGTGGGGGACAAAATATCGTGTCTTGAATGGACTACATTCTCCTCAGTGAGTCTCATTGAAGCTACTGATGATCCCCTAATGGGGATGCAGTCACATTTACCTTCCTCGTCCTTATCCTCGTCTTCTTCACCTCCAGAAATGTGATTATCACCGCCGTCTGGCTACTGGATACTATGTCACAACGTAACCCAATACAGTTCACCCATAAGATACCCCGATATGAAATATGGAAAATGAAATACGCAAAATAGGATTCCAGCCTGGAGTTTCCAGGTTAGCGAGCAAGTACCTACCTTATACACGTGATAACATTCGCATTCTAGGGTCGGAAGAATCGGATATTCCCGACTTACTGACTACTGCAGAGGCAACAGAGCTTCTCCGGAATAATATGTTTCCTGTTACGTGCTCGACCATTCTGCAAGCCTTGCCGGATAGTAAGGAAGTGATCGGAGTGAGAATGTTCGGGGCGGGGCGAGGAATTTCGGGGCATGGATGAGCAGGAGCCCCCGCGATGCAACCAACATGGAGTCAAAAGCAGTTGGTACCGTCAGCGCAACACCGATGGCGAGATCCTGGTTCGATCCGCGGTATCGGCGGTTTTCCGAAATAAAATTACCGCGCGCCACGAAACTCCAAGACACGCATCCTGACGTGCTGGGGGTAGTCACACATATACATAGGGTTAGCTTCATAGTTTCTGAGTGAATCACCTTCCTACGCCTTCTCTGGTTAGGTGAGGGTGAAAGCGGGCCGGAAGTCCGCGTATAACCTTCTTAATCATTCCCCTAGCGGTTTGCCTGCGTTCGACCCGTAAACTGCCCACGTCGGGGCCGGTTGGCTCGAACCCAGATCTTTGATCAACTCGTACGGTAGGGCGTGTGTCCGAGAACACATTGTTTGGGCCTGGCGGGCCGGAGGCCCGCCTCCTCTCTTAAAAATAACATTCCTTTATCGAGTGCCTCCATCGGGACCGGAAAGTGCCTCCACCGGGACCCGGTAGCTCGAACCCGCCTATCACTCCACTTGTCACAAAGGCACTATCAAAGCATAGCCACTTGTCACTATTAGGTTGTGTTGCTGGGGGGACTAGTGAGACGTCGTCGAACTTCAACTGTCGTACCTCTACCAAACCTCCATTCAATCTTCCAGCTAATTATTGCGTCACTAAGTACCAAATGATTTCTGGACCAGACGCGATTAAATCAATAATTTCACCGACTTGGTGACCAATTAAATGATGCATCCTTCTGCCTTGGAGGAAAATATCCTTTGTGTTAGCTGTCCCTAACGCTAAGAGATATTTCGCTGAGATAGATATTTCCTCGTGAAGTTCAGCTTTCAACGTCGCTTCAGTATTGTTCATTCAGTATCTGTTCGATTTGTGTAGGATTTTCACCGTGTAAGCTTCTCGAGTGCTCACATCTCGAATGTAGCTGATTTCGGCTGTCCTGTGAGAGCGTTGTCGTACTCCGTTCCTTTGAGTTGCTGTAGTTGCCGATTTCACGTTAGTTTTTTGCAGTTATTCTATTCCAGACCTGTAATGGCCACCAGAAATCATATGAGTAAACCTACTTCAGCCTCGTTGGCGATTCCTCCTCGTGCGAAGTCTGTCAACAGTACCAAGGCAAACTTTGACGTCCGCCTGTTGCCCATGCAGGACATAGTGGCCGCCGCTCCCACCGAGGCCCTTATCGAGTGGTACCACCTTCTCACTTCCGAGCTCTATCAGCGCCAGAGTACTTCTCGACATCTCCACGACTGGTCTTACTCCCTGCAGTACGCCCTTGTTGGCCCTTCTGGTGTCGGCAAGACGAATCTCAGACTTATGTTCACTGAGAACGTTTTCCGAGTTGCCTCTACCCCCACTACCGGTGTGGAGTTCTCCAAGACCATAGTTGATGTTGACAACGACCGGATCAAGCTGCAGATGTGGGATACTGTGTGGGGCAAATACACTGCTTCCTATTGTCACGGTGCTGCTGTTATCTTCTTCGTCTATGATATCAGCAGACGCGAGTCCTACGATGAGCTTATCAAGTTTATACAGGAGATTCTCCCTTCCCTCGACAAGAGCCTCACCAAGGTTCTTATTGGCAACAAGGCCGATTTGCTCGGCCGTGAAGTCACCGCTGAGGAGGCCGCCAGTTTCGCTCGTGAGAACGGGTTGTTGTTCATGGAGACCTCTGCAAGACCGGTCAGCATGTCAGGGACTGCTTCTTCAACTCTGCCAGACAGGTTCTCCTGCAGCTCCAGATGGGCATGATCGATCCCGCTTCAACCAAGGGTATCCGCTCTGCTGGTCGCAATAGCAATCGTGTTAGTACGGTTACTGAGCGCGGTTGCAACTTGCTCCGTAACTCCGTTGTCAACAAGGCCGAGGCTTTCACTGACAGTGAGCGTGAGGAGCTTGGTTTGGTCGGTTTGCTCCCGCCTAAGGTGTTGGATCTCGATGTCCAGTCTAGGAGGTGTTATCTGCAGTTCTCGCAGAATTCCAATGATATCGAAAAGTATATCTACTTGGAAAGTCTGCATGATCGTAACGAGACGTTGTACTTCAAGCTGCTTGTGGACCATGTTGCTGAGATGATGCCCATTGTCTACACCCCTGTTGTTGGT